GGCAGCTCCTGGGAAAGCAGGGGGAGGAAGTCCCCGAGGGGCTGGGTGTGGCAGTGCATTGTCAGCCCGCAGTGCACTCTGCTGGTGGCACCACCCAGCTCCGGCTGGGCTGGGCGAGTGACTCCTCCCTGCTGCTGGGCACTGGGAGCCCAACCAGGGACTGCTGGGCACCCTGGCACCGTGGAGAATAACCTGGACAATTTCCAGAGACCCCTTTCAGTCTCAAAAAAGAAATTGACCCACATAAAAAAAAGTATCTGTCAGCATTTAATTTTATTTTTCCTTAGAGCTGTGATGTGTGTTTATTAAAAGAATTAGCAAATTAATGCAGGACTTGGAAGTAACTTCCCCCACAAGTTGATGGAGATATGGCAGCACTGGGAGGACTGGATAAAGGATCTGAGAGTAGAAGGAAATGGGCCACAGAAGGGATGGCTCATGGCAAAACAGTTTGATCAGGAAGAGGACACAGCAAGAACATCCAGGAAAGAAACCAAAAAAAGGGAGGCACAGACTTTTCCCTGGGCTATAACTCTTACTTTATATTTTAAAGCCTTTGGACGAACTCCTCTTTCTTGCCTTCTCTCTTTTTCTCTCCTTTTGTTCCCATGGGTTGTGGTAGTTTGGGTTTCTAAATGGATAAAAAAATACCAGGGCTTAATACTGCTTTGGGAAATAGTGTGGGGGAAAGGATTGCAGCAATGCTTATTCTGAAATATTTCTGCCAGGAATTCAGTTTAGTATTGGTTTGAAACTGAGGGAATATCCCCCTTCAAGCTGAAAACTGAAGAGAAGCTTAGAAAAACTGGTAGATTTAGAAAGAATCTTGATGCAGCTTTACCTGCATCCATTTTTTTTGTTGGTTTATGGGAGTCATGGAGCATCTCCAGTGTGGATTGAGTCCAGCTTTGTTGGGTGAGCTCTGCACACAGAATTCCATCCCCAGCTAATCCTGTGCTGTTCTCTCCCCAGCCTGAAGCTCCGCTCTCTCCTTCATGGAGCATCTCCTGTGTGATTATGAGTCCAGCTTTGTTGGGTGGGCTCTGCACACAGAATTCCATCCCCAGCTAATCCTGTGCTGTTCTCTCCCCAGCCTGAAGCTCCGCTCTCTCCGAGTGAACGTGGGACAGCTCCTGGCCACCATCATGCCCGACCTGGACCTGCAGCAAGTGAATTATGACATCGACGTGGTGGATGAAATCTTGGGGCAGGTGGTAGAACAAATGCATGAAATCAGCAGTACTTAAAATCTCAGTGTTTCAGCAGAGTTTTATTGCTCTTCCATTATAACCTGTAGGTTCCAGACTGTAAATGGGGCTGCTTCACTTTATATATTTGACATAGGTGGTTCTCTCAGTGTAAATATTCCACATTTAGCTGTTCACTTCCTCCTCAAGGAACACTGTCAATACTGACCCACCCTGATGTACTTAATTAAGGATTTTGCTTTGGAAATGTATTTGTAATTAAATTTGCAGATATTTTTACTATTAGGAATCTTAATACTTTTCTACAGACACCTTTTGGTTGACTTTGGATCTTATATAAACATTAATACCTGTGAGTATTTCCTCTTGTAAAGTAGTGGAATATCTTAGAAATGCAAAAAAAAAAAAGAAAAAAGAACTTCCTTGATTTCCTTCCCAGAGTTGTTGTATCCCACAGTGTTGTTCCATTGCTCCCAGCAGTGTTCTGTGTTGCATTCATGGGATAGAAATGTAAGTAGTAGGTGAGAATTTGGGGAATATTTGTGTGGTACTACCAAAAGAAGGTTTCTTAAGGGTTATATCCTGAAACCTGGGAATGGATTAATTGGATGGAAGCACTTGGAAAAGGAGGGATGTTTCTTTATCTGTGATGTAAACAGGATGAAAATGTTCAGCTCCAACAGCTTTAGACAGTTTTTATTATAGGCAGGAAGAGGGAATTCCTCTTTTTCACATCTCCCCTTTTAGAGTTGTGTGCTCTAAATCTTCCCATTTTTCCATGATCGTGGGAAAACCTGGAAGCAATGGTACCAAGAGGAATTCCCAGCCAGCTGCAGGGATTTCTTTCCAAGTCATTGGGAATGACAAACTGGGTGGCAAAGACAGCAAATCCATTTTTTCCTCTGTGGTGGGATTGGTCACTCAAGGAGTGATCCAGAAAAATAATTATTGCTTTGAGACACAAAAAATAAATTTAAAAAATCATTTAATTAGTATTCTTTTCCTCTGTGGTGGGATTGGTCACTCAAGGAGTGATCCAGAAAAATAATTATTGCTTTGAGACACAAAAAATGAATTTAAAAAATCATTTAATTAGTATTCAATATGTTAATTCTTAGGAAGTTGTTGGTTTGGTTTTGTTTTTTTTTTTTGTTAAATAAAGCCAATATAATTGGCTTTTGCACTGCTACTGTCCTGAGTTAATCACTTGGTGTCCCTTTGAGTTGCAGTTCAGTGGAATTCTTTCCATGGACAGTATTTCAGTGGAAGATCTCTCTCTATGCCAATAACGGGAATGCACTACTGTTGTACTTTATAAAAGAGAAATTGAATGTTTGATTTGGGAAGAGGTGGCTGTAATATAACTACGTATGACTTTTGCAAAGTTTATATTTCCCATTTCTTGGTGTTTAGCTTTTCCATTTCTTAATCATTATTTATTATGTTTCATCAAACTGTAGCTGAATTTCTTGTAGACAACTGGCAAAATCGAGCACATGTCTATATTAAAAATGGCAAATTTACAATGTACATTTACACTTTGGACAACGGTGGACTTATGGAAATGGTTTCTATTTACTTGTTAAAATGTATTTTTTGTAAAAAATAAAAATATATAAATCAGAGTTTGCGTTTGTTTGTTTTTCTTGTGTTTGTTTCTACATAAAGCCTGTGCAGGATGGCTGAAGTGTTGGGTGTTAGAAGAAAGCCTGGCTCAGTCTGGTGTTGGACTGGGCACACCAGTATGGAAATGGGATGGGAATGTCCTGGGTATGGAAAAAGCAGCACTGGCGTAATCCAGAAGGTTTTAATGGAATGGAGCTGAATTTCAGGAAGTTCTGCTGTTGATTCATGGATGAGCTTCCTTGCCTTCAGAAATTCACTGAGCACGTGGATATGCCATCCTAAGGCAGTTCTACTGCTCTGGAACTCCTCAGGAACTTTGTAAAAATAATTTTAAAATCCTCTATTCCATACACATCCTTCTCCCTCAGCTGGAAAGAGATGGAGAAGGAAGGGGTTGGTTTGGGGTTCCCTGGGATGTGGGGACTGGGGTTAAGATTGATGGAGGGGACTGGATGTGTCAGGACTTAATTCAATAAATGGTCTCCAACACTGCCAAAGGAGGGAGTTCCCTCGGGATAACTCACCTAAAACAGGCACAGTTGGCAAACAGGAAGGGGAAAGGTTTGGAATGAGCACAGACAGAAGATTCCAGTGTGCAGACGGTGGGAATAGTGCAGATGCAACACCAGGAAGGTGCCAGGCTTGCTGAGGCAGATCTGGGTGAGCTGTTTGGGCAAAAATTCCCACCATGGCAAACGGGGGGAGAAGGAATTAACTGCTTCCACAGAAGCCAGGGCAGGTTGTAAAGGGAAGGGCAGCCAGAGCCAGGCCTCAGCCCTCTGTGGGGACAGGCTGCCACCTCTGTCACCTCTGCCATGGCTGCCCTACCCAGGGATCTCGAAGGACGGAGAGGAGGGCAGCACAAGGGACATGGGGCCACAGCCCATCCTGGGCTTCTCCTGCATCCCAACACCCCCGGCTCAGAGTGTTATTGTCACTGTCCCCCACGAGGGTGGCACAGGAGGACACAGCCCCTGTGTCCCCACACAGGGCAGCTCCTGCCATGGAGCACCGGCACAGCACCAGGCTGGGAAGGATCTGAGCATTGTGGTGAGCCCTGGCACAATGTGGAGCCAAAGTAGCCCTTGGGCTCTCCCAAGGAGAAGACTCCAGAATTCAAGGGTTGTCCAGAGAGTAGGGGGACGATGACAGTGAGCTGTGCCACAGGGATGACAACAAAGAGTGCTCCCATGGGAATGGAAAGGCTGAGAGATTTGGGATTGTTCAGCTGGGAGAAGAGAAGCTTTGGGCTGAGCTCATTGTGACCTGAAGGGAGGTGACAAGAAAGATAGAGACAATTTTCAAAGGATGGAGTGACAGGGCAAGGGGGAATCACTTCAAACTAAGAGAGGCAGTTTAGATTGAATGTTAGGAAGGAATTGTTCCCTGGCAGGGACGGCAGGGCTGGGATGGAATTCCCAGAGCAGCTGTGGCTGCCCCTGGATCCCTGGCAGTGCCCAAGGCCAGGCTGGACACTGGGGCTGGAGCAGCCTGGCACAGTGGAAGGTGTCCCTGCCATGGCAGGGCTGGCACTGGATTTAATGTTCCTTCCAACCACAACCATTCCATGATTCTGTGATGTAGAATTAATCTTTGTCCCCTGCTGTGTGAGGCCCTGTGGGCTCTGGGGAGCTCTCAGAGCCCCGTTTTGGGCTTCAACCTCCCCTGCCCAGAGGCTCTTCTTCCCCTGGGCAAGCAGTGAAAGCAAAAGCCGTTTTCTCACAATGTAATTCGGCATTCTCGTTATTATATTTTTCAGGCAAAAAGTTTGTATTTGAAACAGAGAAGTTTGGAGATACGTTACCCATTAGGACTTCTATATATTTACACCGATCAAGCACAGCAATGCCTGTGAAATTTAAAACAAAACAAAACAAAACAAAACAAAAAACCCAACCCAAACAACACTTTTTTGAGGAGTTTGAGCAAGCATTGGGCTTTTTTCGTTTTAGGTTTATTCTGACGTTTTTGCGGTTTTTTCCCCCCCGGCAGCCCCTGAGGGCTCCTGAGGGGGCGGGCGCCAAACAATACTCTTTTGAGGAGTCTGAGCAAGCATTGGGCTTTTTTCATTTTAGGTTTATTCTGACGTTTTTGCGGTTCCCCCCCCCCCGGCAGCCCCTGAGGGCTCCTGAGGGGGCGGGCGGGGCGGGCGCGCGCATGCGCGGGGCGGGCGAAGGCGGGAGCGCGCGGGAGCCGCGGGCGGGCCGCAGGTGAGGGGGGTGGGGGAGGATCCGAGCAGGGGGAACAGCGCCGGGATTTGGGGTTTTGGGGCTCTGGGGAGTAGGATTGGGGGTCCTCGCGGTCTGGAGAGCGGGAATGGGGATCCCCGGGGCTCCGGGAGCGGCCAGCGGCGCTGCTGCCCTTCCCCTGCCCGCGCCGGGCCGCCCGTGCCCGCTCCTTGTTTGGATTCCGGGCAGGGTTGTTACCCCAAAAAAAGTTTTTCTCTCAAGTCTTAAACCGATGCACAGGGCTTGATACCGTCCTCTTGCCATCCCCAAAGAGGAACTTTAGCCATAATAATCGCAACTTTTAGAAACAGCCTTCCTCAAAGCATCCTGTCAGTGACTGCAGTGCAATTCCAGCGGTGCCTGAGAAACGCGCACAAAGTTTGGCCGCCAGAGCCACAAGGAACAAGAATCGGGGTTTGTTCTGTTCCCTCCAGGAAACATGAAGGTCATCACTTGTGAAATAGTGTGGCATAATAAGGAGCCGGTTTACAGCTTGGACTTCCAGCATGGAGCGGATGGGAGGATCAATCGCCTGGCCTCGGCAGGGGTGGACACAGCCGTGAGGGTGAGCTGAACCCGGGTCTGGAGATGTGCAGGGTGGGGGGGGTGTTACCCAAAATATCGGCTTGGTTTCATTATCAAAATACTGGGTTGGTTTCATTATCCAAAATATCGGGTTATTGGCAGGTACATGCCAAGGGGAGTGGATCATTTGAGGAAAGAGTGTACGGTTGTACGTAGAATTATAGAGTGTTTTGGGTTGGAAGGGGACTTAAAGCTCATCAACTGCCACCCCTGCCATGGCAGGGACACGTTCCACTGTGCCAGGCTGCTCCAAGCCCCAGTGTCCATCCTGGCCTTGGACATTTCCAGGGGCAGCCACAGTTTCTCTGGGAATTCTATCACGGCCTCTCCCCACCCACCCAGGGAACAATTTCACCCTAACATTCAATCTAAATGTACTCCCCTAGTTTGAAGCCACTCCCCCTTGTCATTACATACTCTTGTTGTCTCTGCAGTAGTTTATTGCAGTTGTCTCATATAAAACTTTTTCCTTCCTCACTGGGAAATTGACCTCTTCTTCCCTGATGGTGCATATGTTTCAGGGCTTTTTTATACATATTTTAGGGCTAGAAAAATGTCAGTTTTCTTTGACATAAAATATGCTCCCTGATAGGAGGGTGGAGTGAGGTGGGGTCAGACTCTTCTGCCATGTCCCAATTATTCCTGGTTGCCAGAAAGTGATGTCTTGAGAAGGCTGACCTAGAGCAGAGGCTGCACAGAGCTAAAGAATAAAGCAGGGATTTATGAAAAGGCCTCCATGGATCCACCTTGGGCAGCACCAGAGCCCAGCCAGGGCTGCAGCCAAGATGAACCCAAATGGCCCCAAAATGCACGAGCGCTGCCGGGGTCTCTCCCTGGGCTCAGCTCTGCTCCATGTGCACATTGCACTTCAGTGTCCAATCCCAGCTGCAGCCCCTGCAGTCCCATCCTGCTTGTTTTTCTCTCTGCAGCCCACGGGGTTTGTGCTCCTGGGCTGAGATTGGGATCATTTGTCCTTGGTGCCCAGCTGGAGCAGGAATTGTTTTGTCTCCCTGCTCTGTGCACAGAGCTCACCATCCCATAATGTGAAGCTCAACCCCACACACTAAAGCAGCACAGAATGTGAAAAACAGAAAAGCTCAAACCTGAGGCATTGCAAAGGGAAAGGAGGAGAGGAAATGGCCTCAGATGGCACCAGGGCAGGCTCAGGTTGGAGATTGGCACAGGAAATTTCCCTGGCAGAGTGGTCAGGCCTTGGGCTGAGCTGCCCAGGGAGGTTTGGAGTCACTGTCTGTGGGAGTGCTCAGGAGGAGCCTGGATGTGGCCCTGGGGACAGGGTTTGGGGTGATGCTGGTGCCACTGGGTGATCCTGGAGGTCCCTTCCCACCTTGATGATCCTGTGACATCCCACCTTGCCCTGGAAAGCTGTAACACTCTCCTCACTAGATCTGGAAGGTGGAGAAGGGCCCGGATGGAAAAGCCATCGTGGAGTTCCTGTCCAACCTGGCACGCCACACCAAGGCCGTGAACGTCGTGCGCTTCTCTCCCAGCGGGGACATCCTGGCCTCGGGAGGGGACGGTGAGAGCTGCTTCTCCTCTGTCCCATCCTGCATCATTTGGAAGTTAAACTGGTTGAAATCCACCTGAATGGACAAAAGGGAGTGGGAAATAAAGCAGCTTGCTCTGGTTTCTTCCACAGATGCTGTCATTTTGCTGTGGAAGCTGAATGACAGCAAAGAGTTGGAGCCGATGGTTTTTCAGGATGAAGATGAAGCTCAGCTCAACAAGGAGAACTGGGCAGTCATTAAAACTTTGAGGTAATTTATTATTTGGTCAGTTTGGTTTTCTTTTCAGTGTTTTTGTTTTCTCAGTCCTTTTTAACATGTGGTACGCTTTTCAGTTTGTGTAGAATCCCTGCACTGTCTGTAATTCATTTGCTCTGATATTAATACTTTTACTCCCTGTTAATGAGACTCAGAAAAAAGAGGGAGAGGGACATTTTAAATAATCAGGTGCTGACAGGACAGGGGGCAGTGGTTTTAAGCTGAAGGAGCAGTTCCTGGCAGCTGCTGATGTTGATGTGAGAAGAGTTGCAGAAGTGCTTGAAGCACCAGCAGGAGTTCTTATTTGCCTCTTGATAATTTTTATTAACCTAAAAATTCATAAAACTCACATTCACACATAGCTTTTAATTTTCAAATTAATAATTGTTTTCTCCTGCCTTCTAGAGGCCACTTGGAAGATGTGTATGATATTTGCTGGACCTCAGATGGAAATTTCATGGCATCTGCCTCTGTGGATAACACAGCAATCATGTGGGATGTCAATAAAGGTAAATGCTGCAGTTATCCCTTGGAATTCCAGATCTCCTGGAAGTGCCTCGTGGCATTTCCTCCCAAAAAATGGGAAACATCTTTCTTTGTGATTGTTTTTCTGTGTGATTTTCTGGGTGTGTGAGGCCCCTCTATAAATAGATACAAAATATTCTCAGGCCAACAGAATTTATACCTGAGGACTCTGTTCACCTTGGAGTGTTTAGGAAATAACTTTATGCATTTTTTACCCCCCAAAACTCTTGCACAAACTTCTTTTATATTCCTTACTCCACTTCTTGGTGTTGTGCAGCGTGGCCTGAGCTCTGTTTGTGTCTTTCCTTTTGAAAAGCTATTTATTTTCTTTGAATCTTGACACCTTCTGGTATTTCTTTGCAAGAAAGCAACACTTAAATAATAGAAAAAATCCCACCTTGGCCAGTATTCAACAAAGTATTTCTAAAACTCTCTGTAACTTTGTCTCATCAATGTTTTGGCTCTGAGATCTTCCCTTGTGGAACATCAGTGGAGTCAGAGAATCCTGCCTTTGCTAATATTAATCTAATATTAATTCTAGTTAATTATTAAGTTTATAGTGAACAAAACCCTAAACTGGCACTTTAAAAGCAGCTTTTGCTGATATTCTTATCAGCCACCATCCAGTGGACACTTGAACGTTTAAAAAATATTTCCCTACATTTTGAAGCATTTTTTATCTTGTTTTATGTCTGAAATGTTTGGAAACACATTGAAATTTATGATCTGAAAGCTGTTTGTAATTTCAGGACAGAAAGTTTCAATATTTAACGAGCACAAGAGTTATGTCCAAGGAGTGACCTGGGATCCTCTAGGCCAGTATATTGCAACCCTGAGTTGTGACAGGTGAGTGTTTTTCCTAAATATTCCTGAATTAAAAGGAAGTATGCCAGATAAACATGAGGTTTTACTCACTTCTTTGTGTAAGCAGGTTGATGTGAAAGTCAAGTGATATTTTAGTTATTTTTTTGGCTTGTGCTCAATGATTCCTGCAGTCTCTCTTAGCAGCAAATAAACTTTTGAAGGAGTCTTCCTTTAGGAATTGAGTTTTATTATTGATCATTATTGATACTCTTAAGAGAGTGCTGCATGGCTGTGTTAATGAGCTGATAAATTCATCTTGGGGATGGAGCAGCCTGGGACAGTGGGAGGTCCCTGCTCCAGGCAGGGCTGGAATTAAATGATCCTTAAGGTCCCTTCCAGCACAAAGCATTCCATGATACAACTGATGGAGATGTAGTTTATTGTTTTTAAGGTGAGTTCCCCCTTTTGAGGAACCTACAGTGCAGGTGGGAACAGCCTGGCTTTTCCCTGTTTCCTAATTCCCTTATTGCTCCAAAATCCAAGTGCTGGGACTTCCCAAATCTTGTGGAGTCCAGGCATTGTGAGGGGTTGATTGGTTCTTTGGTCATTAAAGCACATCCCTCTGGTGGTGTCTCGTGAGGAGAATTTTAATTAATGGTTAATTGGTGCTCCAGCTTTACGTTTTGAGGTGCTGACTGAGAAGAGAGATCCTGGAACATCTTTGGCAAACTTGGAGTGAAAGGAAGCTGTTCATAGGAGAGGCTGGGAGAGCTGGGGTTGTTCACCTGCACAGGAGAAGCTTTGGGCTGAGCTCAGGGTGGCCTTGCAGGGCCTGAAGGAGCCCCTGGAAACCTGGAGAGAGACAATTTCACAGAATCCCTGGGTTGGAAGAGACCTCCAAGAGCATCGAGTCCAACCCAGCCCTGGAAGCTCAACTGAACCCTGGCCCCCAGTGCCACATCCAGGCTTTGTTAAACACCCCCAGGGATGGGGACTGCACCACCTCCCCGGGCAGCCATTCCAGAACTTTATCAATCTTTCTGGAAAAGCTTTTTCCTGATCTCCAGCCTGTATTCCCTTGGTGCAGCTGCAGGCTGTGAGCTCTGGCTGTGTCAGTGCTGCTGCAGACAGAGCCCAGCCCCAGCTGAGCACAGGCACCTTTCAGGAGCTGTGAGGGTGAGGAGGGCACCCCTGAGTCTCCTTTTCTCCAGGGGAGCACCCCCAGCTCCCTCAGGGGTTCCTCATAGGGCTGGAGGGACAGGACCCAGGGAATGGCTCCCAGTGCCAGAGGGCAGGGCTGGATGGGATCTTGGGAAGGAGGAATTGTTCCCTGGCAGGGTGGGCAGGGCTGGGATGGAATTGCCAGAGCAGCTGTGGCTGCCCCTGGATCCCTGGCAGTGCCCAAGGCCAGGTTGGACACTGGGGCTTGGAGCAGCCTGGCACAGTGGAAGGTGTCCCTGCCATGACAGAAATGGCTGATTTTTCATGTCCTTCCCAACCCAAAGCATTCCCTGATTCCCTGCTGGCTGACTCTGCTCTCCCACCAGGGTCCTGCGAGTTTACAGCACCCAAACCAAGCGAGTGGCCTTCAATGTCACCAAGATGCCATCGGGGTCGGGAGCTGAAGGAGAGGTACCTGGTTCTGCTGGGGCTGCAAACTCTGCTGGGGGCTGTTTTATCTGAACTTCCTGTCCCATGAAACCAAAGGATCAAATATTTTCCATTCAAACAATTCCTGTGTTGTAGAATCATCAAGGTTGGAAGAGACCTTCACACTCATCCACTCCCACCATCATGACCCTGAAACCACATCCCCGAAATTTCGTGCTGATGAAAGCAGTAACACAATCCTTTAGTTGTAAAAGCTAAAAATAGTGTGGAGAAAACAGTTCTTAATAGGAAAAACTTCAAACATACCTGGCAGTAGCTGGGAGTTTATTAATGGATGTGAGTAATAATAGTAATAATGTTTTAAAGTTAATGGTAATAATATTTTAAAGTTAACAGCCTGGAATTTTCAAGAAGGTTGTTAGATTTTCAAGAAAAATATTAATTAGGGATAATTTAGGAAATTCTAACCCTAAGAGGGAAAACAAAGAGCTTTTTTTTCCTCCCAAACAGCTTTAAGTGATAGTAAAATAACACCTCCAGGCTGACTATAACTTTCTTAATTCCTTCTATTCATTCCTTTTCTTTTTGGGGGAAAACATTGGTAAGAGTTTTATAGCCACTGAAGAGCAGGCCTGAGAGCAGGCACTTTGCCATGAGAGAAGTTCTGTTTCAACCTCTAATCCTGGGGTTAGAATGCGATGCCTGGGCAGCACTGGGTGTTAAACAATGTTGTTCTCCAGGTTATGACTATTTTTTGATGGCTGGTTTAAGGTGACAGCTCTGGGAGTGTTTTGCTTTGCAGCTCAAGAGGGATCAAGGATTATTTTTCTTAGCTGTGAAGAATTTTTAGAAAGCTTGAAGGAGCCATGGATTTTAAAAGGTTTTACTTGATAAGTTCCATCAGGCTGGAGTGTCCAAGTGGATGTTTTGTGTCCCAGGGATTGCAGCTGGACATTCCTGGCCTTGTCCACAATCCTGCTTTCTGTGTTGCAGGTGAGGAGCTTTCGGATGTTTCACGATGACAGCATGAAGTCGTTCTTCCGCAGGCTCAGCTTCACTCCTGATGGCTCCTATCTGCTCACTCCAGGTGTGGGGACATCTCCTGGGACATGGGTTGTGTCACTGAGGTTGGAAAACATTCCCAAGGTCATGGAATCCCAGCTGTGCCCCATCCCCACCTTGTCCCCAGAGCTCTGAGTGCCACCTCCAGGGGACACCTGCAGGGATGGGCACTGCAAAGCTCCCTGGGCAGCCCCTGCCAAGGCCTGAGCACCCTTTCCATGGGCAAATTCCTGCCCTGGCCCAGCTGAGCCTGCCCTGGCCCAGCCTGAGGCCGTTCCCTCTGCTCCTGTCCCTGTTCCCTGGAGCAGAGCCCGACCCCCCCGGCTGTCCCCTCCTGGCAGGGACTTGTGCAGAGCCACAAGGGCCCCTGAGCCTCCTTTGCTCCAGCCTCAGCCCCTTCCCAGCTCCCTCAATCTATTGTATCCTAATTTGAATTTCCTTAATATTTCCTTCAGGGATGCTGACTTATCCTAATTAAGGCATTCCTCATTCTCCCTGTTGAAGAAAATAAAAACTCCACAATATCCTCCATTGACAATCTACAACATGAAATTTCTCCTGTGATGAAAGTGATATTTATGGCATTTTGCTGCATAAATTGCAACACCAGAAGTCTTAAGACAGAAATGTAGGATAATGAGTGGGGTTTTTTTGACTCTGTCCTTCCCTCAGAACATTCTGCATTCGGAGTAAAAACAGCCCAGCAAGGAGGGATCAGTGTGTGCCTGTCCAGACCCTGCTTTTATTGATGTCTGGCAACATCAAAAAGCAGCTTTGAAGAGGGTAGTGTGTAAGGGAAACAAAACCAGCCCTAAATAAATATTTGGGATGCCTTTTTAAGTTGTATTCAGCTTTTGCCCAACTGACAAGCCTAATTCCTGGGAATTAGAATATTTCTGGAGAAGCCTAATTCCCAGGAACTGGAATGTTTGTGGACACAAGGTGTGTGCTCAGGAGCTCTCTGAGGTGATGAGTAACGTTGGAACCTTTGTTTTTGCAGCTGGCTGTGTGGAATCAGGAGAGAACGTTACAAACACCACCTATGTTTTCTCCAGAAACAATCTTAAAAGGTAGGGGGGTTTAGTGAGATAAAAATCTGTTTGGATTTAAAAATAAACAATTCAAGTAGTGCAAATGTGTTTTCTGAACTGCTGGCTCTCTCTGAAGGCCCGTGGGTCACCTGCCCTGTCCTGGCAAGGGCACTCTGGCTGTTCGCTGCTGTCCTGTGTACTTTGAGCTGAGAGGAGCCTCTGCTGAAGGTATGGTGTCTGCTCAGGAAGGCAGGAGCCTCCCCTGAAATGGAAAATGTAAACCCCCTCCCTCTGAATTGTTATAAATTTGAAATTAAGGGGCTCTCAGGCAAAGATATGGGAGTAGGAATAACAGTTCTTTATTAGGGAAAAAATGAAAATAAAAAAAATAATGCAGTAATACAAACAAACACTGCCAGAGTCAGAACCTGCCCTGTCCCCCTGTGGGTCAGGGTGGTGGCACAGTCCCATCCCATGGGGGCTCAGCCCTCCTGCAGTGCCAGCTGTGCTTCTGCTGGAGCAGGGATCCTGCACAAGGCTGCAGTTTTCCTCTGCAGCTCCAGGGCTGCTGGAGATGGGCCTGCTCTCCCTCTGGGAATGCAGGGCAGGAGAAAGCTGCTCCTCTGGGAATGCAGGGGGCAAAGGCTGCTGTGCTGTTCCAGGCTCAGATTGGATCCAGGTAGGAATGCTTGGCTCCTGCCCTGGGCGCAGCATCTCCCCATGGGATGCTGGAATTGGATCAGCCCTGCAGGGACACTCAGTGGCCATGGACAGCAGAGATCTCCTGGAGGGAGGATTGGCTGTGGGAGAGAGAAAGGAAAAACTGCCCCATGAACAGCAGAGAACTGCCCCAGCTCTGACAGATGGGGATAGAACACACACCCCCATTTCCAACCTAAGACATATGGAAAGCTTCAGAGAGTGGGAACTCCAGCAAATCTGGGAAAAGATGGGGCTGGTCATTATTTTATGCCCCAGCCTTTCAGCATTCCTCTAAGACAGTGCTGAGAAGCTGTTTCCTGACTCTGAGGCCCTGAGTTCACCTCAAGTCGCTCATGAGTTGCTTTTGGTAGAGTGGAGGAATGTTCCTTGGCCTCTCAGGCTGCAGGAACACTGTGAAATATTTTCCTTGAACTGTTAACCATTTTGTGTTCGAAAGAAATAACCTGGTTTAGCACCAGAGGAGCAATGCAGTGAAATAATTCCTGTTAGTCTCAACTGCCCACATCACAGGGAGTTGGAATAGTTTGCTACAACCACTGGTGTTTATTCAGGGAAGCAGTGCTGGTGTTACTGGGCAGAGCAGGAATTCTGAGCTGGGGACAGGATTTTGTGAAGTTGCACAAGAATTTATTTTGTATTTATTTAATCCAGCTTTATTGTGGGTCCAGGAGTGTTTATATTTTAGCAAGACTGACATTACTCAGGTGAAAAGGCAGAGCTTGGCTCCTTTCTTTCAAGGTTAAATTTGTAGTATTCCTTACAGGATTTACCTGTTCTATTTCCATCATAATTTTAAATCCATGGTGGTGCAAAGGAAGGAGATGAGGGTCTGCAGTTGGTCTCTGTAGCTCCTCTAAAGGGAGACTTTAATATTAAAGTTCTTATAAACATGCTGAAAAATTTCAGCTGGAAAATAGAAGGGAAAAATTACAAAACAGTAGCAATCCAGAGGGAGAAAGGTGCCATTTTTTTTTTCAACTGAGAAAATAAAAGAGTAAATTTCAGACAACAGAAATGTTAAATTTTGCATTTTGTGCAAGAGCTGTCTGCTCAGTGTTTACACTGATTGATGATGTAATTTTATTTTAATTAATGGCTAAGTGCAGTCACTACCTTGCAATAAATACAAGATAATTCTCTCTGTTCATTTCTTTGCAGATGAAATCAGTCCCAAATCCCCCCCTGCCCTGTTTAACCTCCCCTATCGATTGGTGTTTGCTGTTGCTTCAGAAGATTCTGTGCTTTTCTATGACACTGAGCAGTCCTTCCCCTTTGGTTATGTCTCCAACATCCATTACCACACCCTGAGTGACATTTCATGGTAAGGAATTGTATTCCTAAGATTTATTTTGATGGGGAAATGTCCTTTTTCCATGTCCAGTTCTGCACAGCATTTGAGTCCTGCCTTGGGTTTGTATTTCATTTATGTCACACACGTGGTCACTCAGTGCTGTTTGCTCTGTAAATTAGAGAATTATGGCTCTTAATCAGTTGGGTGAGGGTTGAAGTAAAATCTTGGCCTTTAATGAAAATAAATAAATCCCAAACAGGTCCAGTGATGGATCCTTCCTGGCCATTTCCTCCACGGATGGGTACTGCTCCTTTGTCACCTTCGAGGAGGATGAGCTGGGAGTGCCCCTGAAGGAAAAGCCCCAGATCCACGTCAGGACTCCTGGAGCAGCAGCAGACAAGAAAGCCAAGAAGAGCCAATCCCACAAAGTGATTTCCCCAGGCTCCAGGCTGGCAGAGGGGACCCCTCCCAGCAAGGATCCCCCACTGCAACCCCGAACCCCCAGCACTGCTGGGAAGGAGCTGCCTTCCACCCCTGTGGGCATCAGAAGCACTCCAGTGCCATCCCCTCCCACCCCTGTGGGCATCAGAAGCACTCCAGTGCCATCCCCTCCCACCCCTGTGGGCATCAGAAGCACTCCAGTGCCATCCCCTCCCACCCCTGTGGGCATCAGAAGCACTCCAGTGCCATCCTCAGAGGAAGGGAGAAGCAGCCAGGCAGGCACCCAGAGCAGCAGAGCCCCCCAGCCCAGGAGGGTCACCCTCACCACTCTGCAGTCCTGTTTCAAAACACCCAGGTGAGATTTGTGGTGCCCCTTCCACTTGTAAATAGAGGGGCCAAGAGAAGCTGTGCTTGTGCTGCATTTAAAGGCTGAGCTTTGCACACAAATTCCCAGCCCTGGCTCTGAGTGGAAGCTCTCTTGATGTGGAGTTTTTTGTTGTGCTGCAAATGAGAGGTCAAAATGTCTCCTAAATGTGGAGCTTTTATGTTTCTGCCTGAAGCATGAGGCAGCAGATTCACCTGAGCCTTACCTTCACAACACAAGGTGTCTGTCTTGGCCAGGAGTTGGACTTTGATCCTCTTGGATCTCTTCCAGCTCAGAATATTCTGTGATTCTGTCCACTTTTCTGCATTAAAAAATGGTATCTGAGGCCTTCAGCTGCCAGGAGCTCTTTAAACACCCTTCTGCCAAAGAGTATTTTAAGAGTTCAAGTCTAGACAGGCACTCAGTGTGGAACTTAAAGCATTGATTAGGTGACTTCCTAAAAGATCTGATTTTGTAGAAATTGCCAATAATCCAGGTATTGATTGTACTGGGGCTCTGAGCACCCTGCTCCAGTGGAAGGTGGCCCTGCCCATGGCAGGAGGTTGGAAGTGGATAATGCTCCATTCAACTTGTAAAAAGAAGGGAAAATGTGCAGTAAAATATATCTGAACCACCTTTGCAGTTAAGTGATTCTATATTAATTAAGTCTTGAAGTGAAATACTCGTGGAAATGATGTCTACAAAGCAATTTAACTGTTTCTGCTCTTTTAAAGGAGAATAAACTTGATTTCCTTGAAGCCAGACACCCCAGCCTCTGCATGTCCAGCCCCAGCCCCCATCCCTCCGTCCTCAGAACAGGAACACGGTGAGTTTTTGTGGCTCTTAACACTAGCCAAGTCGCCTCCCAGTCAGATTTTTCCATTGTAGTTTTATATTGTAAAAAAATCCTCACTCTAATTGCAAATTCTAAAGTTTCTTCATTGTTTTGATGTGTCTGAGAGGTGCTTTGGGCAGTATGAAATGTGTTCTCCCTGCTCTGAGGCAGCTGATGGTGACTGTCCCTACAGTTTTAGAGCAGTGAAACCAAGGATAAATTCATGGGTGTGATGTTCTCCAGCTTTTAAAGACTTTTGTACTTTCAGCTTACCCTTATTGCAGGTGCTGGACACTCTCAGACCAGGGTTTGGGTTGTTTTTTGGGTTTTTTTTAATCTGAATTTATTAATTTGAAATGATTTTCCTGTCTGCTTCTTCCAGAGAAGCCATTGCCATCTGATGAGAGCCTCCAAGCTCCCCCAGCCCCAAAACGTGCCAGGACTGAGGAATTGTCCCTTCCAGCACCTGCTGGAGACCAAACCAGCTGTGAGTCCAACAAATAAAGGCTGAGCAGACCCCTCACAGCCTGAAGTCCAAGCAGCCATGTCTGAGTGCATTTCTTTTTGCTAAAATTCAATCCTCAATTCCAAGTTCCCTGTGCATGTTTGATGTAGAAACATCAACATTTCTGTGAAGAAACTGCCAGTAGAAGACCCAGGTTTGAGGAACGTGGTTCTGCAGCAGGAGAAATAGTTGGGAAGTGACTTCAAGAATAAGGAAATCAGGGAAATCTGGGGATTAAAAATCCATCCAGTAAGCTGTGAGTCTCCATCAGAGTCCCTAAATCCATGTTTAGAAAGCATTTTGTCTTCCAGTAACTGTCTGGCAAAAAGAATCCAATGCATTCATAAGATTTGATGTGGCTCAGGACCTAAAAAAAGAGGAAATTGTGTCATTCCAGCCTTTTGGTTTATTTCTGGTGTAAAATGATGCTCCCCAGTAGCTGTGGGGTGGAGCTGATTCTCTCTGAATGCAGCAGCAAAGCTCAGGACTGGGATGTGGAAGCAGAAATGGGAAGATTTAACTGCAAGGAACAAGAAAGCAAAAGGAAAAAATCCTCTGAAGAGCTGCTGGAAGAATGAAACAGCAGGAAGTTCTTCCTGTTTAATTTCTGGCCTTAAAAAAGAAATGCAGGTGTCAGATTTTCCTGAGGCAGCAGAATTTGGGTGTGTAGATTGAAATTTCCCCCTTCCTTTTTCCCAACTTAACTCCCTTAGCCAATAAAACACAATCCAGTGGATGGGAAACTTCTACACCTAAAATTTCTTTTTAGCATTTAATACTTCATAAAAGCAGAAATACAAATACTCCAGAAGTGACTCACAAAAGTCTCACAGGGAGGAAATATTAACAAACACCTCTGTCAGTCCTTCAGGCAAATGAACTCTTGCCTCCAATTAAATTTCAACAATTAATAAGCAGAAAGTTATAGGAAGCTTGATGAGATCTTTGTTGTCTCACTGTGATGAGGATGGGTATTCATTAGACTTAATTAAAGCTGGATTTTCTTCTAGTGAAGAATTACAAAGAGATCATTCTTACATTTCTTGGGTTTCAAGTGGGTTTTGCAATTTTTCAGATGGGTTTCAAACAATTCTGTAACTTTTTAGCTGGGTAAGGATTCATGACTGTCTTGTTCCTAGAAAGACTTTTTGCTGTGTAATAATGGTTCCTTTTGAAACAGCCACACCTTGTGCTCCTGTGCTGTTGAAGTTTTAATTTTCAGCTACCCAGCTATCAGTATTAATTTATTTTGTCATTAATTAACCACTGCCTTCTGGTCAAAATTTGCTTGATCCTTGCCCATGGATTCCAAACAGACTCTGTGTTTTTTCTGCACATTCCCTGTGTTTGTATGAACTTTGTTAGCAAATAAAGACTATAATATAACATAACATAATATAATATATAATGCAATATAATGCAATATAATATAATAATAGAAAAACTATTAATAAAACTATAAATAAGTATAAAAATATAAAACAAATAAACCGTTTATAGACATAAATAAAAATAAGTATAAATATTATATAAATATTATATAAAACATAAAGACCATCAAATTAATTTTAAAAAACAAGACTTTTCAGGGATCTCTAGGTGTTTTCTGCTCTGGCAGCTGCAGGATCCTGAAGAAGAGGCAGATTAGTTATGTGTTAACAAAAGGTCAGGAATTAAATGACATCCAGGGATGTGATTCCACCACTTCCCTGGGCATCCTTCCTTTTCCAGGAACAAATTTTTCCCTGATTTTTTTTTCCTAACCACAGCCCTCAGGTGCCCAGCACAGGGACAACTTTTGGCAGCCCCAAATCTCAGTGCTGCCTGTGAAAAATGGAAATTGTGCAATTGAGGCAGGTGTGAGAGGTCCCTGCTGTGAGAGCTCCTGATTTTCTCTGGCCGTGTGGAAGGTGGGAGATTGTTGGAAAGGAGGAGGGGTGTCCATGGAAGTGGAGGTGGCGGGGAGAGGAAAAGGGACAGGAATGGGTTAATGGGAGCTGGGATGTGCAGAGAGGCTGGAGAAGGAGACAAAATGTGTTTGGGAAGGAGTGGGAGGAAGGGAAGCTGAGAGGGACTTTGGTGTCTTTGGGAATTCCTGTGCAGCCCGGTGAGGATCCTTCTTTCCCAAGAACACCTCATTTCCCAGGCTGGGTTTTACTTGAGAGGTTTTTTTGTGGGATTTTTTTCCTCTCTGGAATGGGTAGGCTTTTTTTTTTTTTTTTTTTTTGTGAGGATCCTTCTTTCCTAAGAACACCTCATTTTCCAGGCTGGGTTTTTGGGTTTTTTTTGGTTTTTTTTTTTTTTCCCCCCACAAAACTGATTTCTTACTCTCCTGCCAGCAGGTGACAGCATTCCCTAAAGCAAAGCAAATTGAGCAGAAATTCCCCTCTACTCCAGACTTCATCCAGACATTTTTCATCCTCTTTATTTTTTTCTACAAACTGGTAATTCAGGCTTCTTTCCATGTGCTGAAGAAGCAAACGGGGTTTTACAGGGAAGAGAACACAGCAGGGTAACTTCAATCATGAGCAGAGCACGGCCTCTCCTACTCAGTGAATCCAGAGGCTTTTCCAGGAGCAACTGGCACCACAGAGGGTCCAAGCAACAGGTCTTGGGTTAGCCATGGGCTGAGGGGACACATTCCCAGGATGGCGTATCCAGCAAAACCTCTGGCTGCAGGAACAACCCACAGAGCTCCTGGCAGCCTTTATGGAGAGACTGGCCTGGATTTGGGGGCTGAGATTGGGATCATTAGTCCTTGGTGCCCAGCTGGAGCAGGAATTGTTTTGTCTCCCTGCTCTGTGCACAGAGCTCATCATCCCATAATGTGAAGCTCAGAAGTGCACATTAAAGCAGCCCAGAATGTGAAAAATAGAAAAGCTCAAACCTGAGGCATCCCTGGCAGTGCCCAAGGCCAGGCTGGACAGGACTTGGAGCAGCATGGGACAGTGAGAGATGTCCCTTGTCCCTGCAATGGCAGGGGGTTGGAGTTGGATGATTTTTAAGCTCCCTCCCATCCCAAACCCATCTGTCCTTCCCAGCTATTTTTCCCTGCTTGTTCCAGACATTCCTGCTCAGATCTCTCAGCCCTCGGCAGCACTTTAACCAATCATCCCTGAAGTCAAATCCCAACATTTGGTCCCAATTATCCCTCTCCCTGAGCAGCCCCAACCCCACACAGCAGCTCTGTTCTTCCTCAGGTGTGGGATTTTGGGATGCTGCCATTCCCCTTCCAAGGGGATCTGACAGAGCTGCTGAGGGATGGGACTGGGGGTGCTGAGGCTGCTCCTCCTTCCCAATCCCTGTGGGAGAAGCTTTTCCATGCTCATCATCTTGGGGTCTCCCTGCAGGTGCTCCAAGATCAGCAGAAAAGCTGGAATGGGTAAAAGCAGGAACGCCAATGGCTGCTGGCCTGGATCAGGAATGGTGTGGCAGCAGGAGCAGGGAGGTCACTCTGTGAACTGGGAGCAATTTTTCCTCCTATGGCTGCCAAGCTTCCAACCCAGTGATGTTGGTATTACTGGGGATCCTGCAGATTATTCCCTCAGCTGAAAAATCCCAGGAAAAGCCCTGGCCCCAAAGCCTCCGAGCCTGCAACCCGAGAGGATTTGCCTCTCAGAGCATGAAGAATTAAAAAAGTTCACAGATTTCTTTTTGTCTGGAAACTGGGTATAAATTGAGGCTCTTTCAATGCCTGGGAAAACCTGATCCTGGTGCTCCTGAAAGGAGAGGAACCTGTTTGTGTCTTTTAAGTTCTTGCCATATTTTCTGTGAGGGCTGAACTCCCCAAATCTTCCTATTTTACTCCAGTTATTTGTGTTTTCCACTTGAAATGTTTCCTTGCTGAGAGTTGAACCAGGAAAGTTTCATTTTGAAGGGAATTATTTCTCTGTGCATTTTTCCTCCTCAAGATTTGAATTTTAAGCACAATAATGCAAAATTTTGATGCTAAATAATGTCGGGTTTTGTCTCGGCATAAACTTCTCCCCTTCAGCCACCGAAAGTAAATAAATAAGCTGGGCAGGAGTTTTTGTTTTGATTTCTGCCAAGCTGAAATAAGAAATTTTGAAGTGTTGTTTGTTGAGGGAAATGGAAATGGGCCAGGTTGGAATGGGAATGGCTGTGGGACCTCAGCCTGTTCAATTGATCTCCCTCAAAATGGTACTTTCAGCTCACTGAGTGCTCCTTCTGCAAAGCAGGAGCTGTAGCAGCCTCTGGATATTTTTGTTTTCCCTTTTCCAGTGGGGTTGCACCAGCTGGATGTGCTTAAAAATAAATAGCAGGGCAGGAGAGGAGGTGTTGGCTGTGTGCTCCAATATTCCAAATGTGAAATCCCTAAAAAAAATCTTCATCTCTGCTGTGGGATGGATTATTACAGAAAGGGAAAATTGATAGCCAGGAACAGCCAAATCAGAGTTCCTTGATTGAATCAGCAGGAGTAGCACAAAACACTGTCCTGCTGCAATATTTTACTGGATAAAATACATAAGTCTGAGCAGAGAGTGCAGGAAAAAGGTGGGTTATTGTCCATGGCAGTTATTCCTTGGAATGGGAATTCCTGTGTAGTGGCAAAGGGTGGGCATAAAACAACTGCACTTTATGCCCAGGCAGGGGTTTCCCACACTAAAAAAAATTGGAGAACTTTGCCAGGACCTGGGATGTGCTGGTTCCTGGAGCAGGTGGGGTGGTAAATTCACCACTGCTTCTGTTCACTCTCAGCTTCCCAGAAGGAGGGAAGACATTTTCCAAATAAATCACAGAATCATGGAATGGTTTGGGTTGGAAGGGACCTTAAAGCCCACCCAGTGCCATGGGCAGGGTCACTTTCCACTGTGCCAGGCTGCTCCAAGCTGGCCTTGGGCACTGCCAGGGGTCCAGGGGCAGCCCCAGCTGCTCTGGTGTGGCTGTGGGGGTTCCTTCCCTTGGATTTTTCAGCACAGAAGAATTTATGTGATATGCACAGAAGGGTTTATAAGAGAAAATATAATAAAATCACTGAAAATCACAAATTATTATAGCAGTCAGGATAAAGTAATTCAAGATTTGGAGCATTAAAATTTCACTTTCAAGCCGTGTCAAATATGAAGAGTATTGAAACTGATTCCTTGTCCTTTTTTTTCCTTCTCGTTTCTGCAGGAAGAGAGGATTTTCACTTCTAGAATTTCTGCTTGGTTAACTCAAAATGAATTTTGGATTGGGGTTTTCAATATGATTTATAAATACCTGAGGGTAAGGAGCACAGGCAGAGGTGTGGTTTCACCTTATCCATTGCACACACGTTCTTGCTATAAAAATAATTACTCTAATTATATCCTGTAATAGTAACAACTTTCAACATTGTCTCTGAGTTTTACCAGCAGGATCCAGGAGGAAAATGCTTTCTCATTAATAAATTCAGGCTCAAGCCTGAGCCTTTGCTGGGAGCAGCCACATGATGGCAACATTGCTAATCCTTAACTTTGTTCGTGGCAGCAGCTCCTGGAGCTGGGCTTTGCCTCAGAACTCCCCCTGGAGTTCTCTGGGGTTTCGAGGAAACTTTTCCTTCATGGTTTGACCTGGAGAGGGACATTTCCCAAGGGATGGAGTGATGGGAAAAGGGAGAATGGCCTTAGGCTGAGAGGGGGCAGGGACAGATGGGATTTGGGCAGGAATTCTTTATTATGAGGGTGGTGAAGCACAGGTTGCCCAGGGAAGTTTTGGACTTCCCGTTGGAAGGTTGGAGCAGCCTGGGACAGTGGAAGGTGTCCCTGCCATGGCAGGGGTGGCACTGGATGGCCTTTAAGGTCCTTTCCAGCCCAACCATTCCAAGACTCCATGAAATCAAACTATTATGAGGCACTTTGTGGCTCTCAGCTCAACATGGGCAGATTTTTAAGAGGCAGGAGGAGAAAATGCCACTTTCCTCTTTTTTTCCCCTCATTTTTTTCTTTTTTTTTTTTCCTTTTAATGAGCTGCAGTGGAACCTGTAAAAAGCTTTTCCCTGGTGACAACCAAGCAATTCCTGAACTGGTGCAGCTCTGAAACAGGAGAACAGGATCTGGCACTGCTGAAGGAGCTCGACCAAGTTCAAGCAAGATCTTCTTAAATCTTGGACATGATAAATATGGGCGAGTTTTGGTGGAGACTGGAAGAAAAATGTGTCCTTTCAGCCAAAGTAACTCTTATCCCGACAAACATTTTGCTGGATTGTTATTTGAATGAATATTTAATATAAAACATGCAACCTGCTCTAATAAGAGCACATTCATAATTTTGAGCAGGCGAGCCCTGTCCAAAATTCCCTTGGCTTTGCTCTGGGTAAGGAATAACTTAAGAAGGAAATGTTGGACTGCAGCTACTCTTGGCTGAAGGACACAGTACAGCAGGAA